TCTGGGCAAGAAAAGAAAAAGAGAAGTTTGGCAAAGTGGGGGCCGAACAGTGCCGTAGCAAAAACCAGGGAAGTCCTTGGTCACCATGTTAGAGCTGTCATAGAAAACAGCAGCAGTAGGATGAACGTGTACTGACAACTTCAGTGGTGACAAGTGTGAAAGTGTAAAGTGTGAAGGGTGCAAAGTGTGAAGCGTGCAAAGTGTGAATCATAGTTTGAACTGTACAAATCGAGCGTTATCGTTTACTGAGTGTTTATAACCAGACCTTATTAAGTATGCGGTTACTGAACCAGGCTCGTCAAATTTTATTTACGATCACATCGATCGGAATATTGGTTTTCAACCAAAACTGTTTGAGTATACCGAAATTTTAAAACGTGGCTTGCTATTAAACTGGCTAGACATGACACGCCTCTCCGGGAAGCGTTTTCAGTATTGCTTCTCCAAAAGGAAGGCCACCTCAAATTACGTCCATAAAGATACTAATAGTATTATTGCATTTCCGAAGTACACGGTTTATATTAAACAATTTTTAATGTTGCCTCAGGTACTTGTCGTAAATTGAATGCTTGTAAATCAATCTCACATCGCCTTCCAGTCCACAGGAAATAGATAGCACAGATGGCTCCTTGGATAAAATTATATGAGACTTAATGGAGTCGTGACGTGACATGTCAGAGTCCTGCCTCACGACCAACTCATCATCAGTGACCATGTTATTTCGTAAACAAAAAAAAACGTATTAAATTTAGTCAGTTATCTTCGTATTCAACAACCTCGTTAGTACAAGGTTGGTGGTTTATAATTTGCCGCATAAACAGCCCACCCGCCTCGCATGCGTGGTGATCTTGTTTCAGTTTCGCTTTCAATCTATCTGCCAGAAAAACTCTCAAATTATTATTCAGTTGTCAAAACTAACAGGAAAGTACATCTAATGTCCCTTTCACTTCAAAGGAACATTAATTAAACTCGAGGTTTCACAAAATGACATTCAACCTCAGAAAACTGAATAAATGACTTTAGTTCAAGTGAGCTTTAACTTGTTGCTGGATTTGCACAAGATGTTTGGTGGGCAAAACTCGGAAAGAAACTTTTATATAAAAGACAGTTTTAAACCGCATCTAACTAAATTACCAGACTTTGATGTGAAAAGAACGTAATTAGTTTTAGCAAAACAGCCTCACTCTTGGAATTTGAGAAGCTTCGGAAGTTAAAAAAAAAAAAAAGAAAGAAAAGGCTTACAAAACGGAATTCGTGCTCTTCGCATTTCTATAGCCTTTCGACCCATTGAGCATGCGTTTCTAACTCTCTATCCTTAGATTCAGTTCAAATCTTACTCCTCTTCTGGTTCTACTACAGCGTGGAGCGCATGTTTTGCAAGTTAATCAAACGTATATCAAGGAAAGAAAGATTGTTGTACTCTTTGAATGTATTTACTTATTTTCAAACAAATCTGCATTAAGCAAGCGGTGAGCAAATACGTAAACAAGGGCACTGTTTTTACGCCTCGTGCTTGGAGGTTTCACTGCCGTTTCTATTTGGACATGCAAATAACGTGAAGGCCTGGCCGTTTGTAAGGCAAAGCTAGTACCTTCTTCCCCTGAGTACTGGCCGGGCTCGGGGATCGAGTCCGCGACCTCCCTCGCTGCAGATAAGAGCTCTAGCGACTGAGCTAATCCCGCCGCAGCGAAAAACGACACGCGAATACCTCAGCAGAAAGGGACAAAAACTATATTATGAATTTAATTTGGAAGTTTTTGACTAACTTTTGTCATGTAGGTAGCCATAGAAAAGCGTCTTTTTCATATTTTAAGTATTGTCTTTAAATCTCATTCAATTTTAGCCTGCTTCAATGTTGTTTTGAAAGGCGCATCAGAATCGTCACAGAGTATTCATGTTCACCTGGACTGCCAAAAATGTTTTTAGAAACAGAGATTAGAATGTTTTTTTTTTGTTTTTTTTTTTTTACATTTCAAAGCTTGTATTAAGATCAAAATTACCTTGAATCATAAACTGTTTCTTAAACAATCCTTTTGTTTCTATCTTTACTTACTATCAACCAAAAAAGGTATAGCTGAGTTATTTTGTGAGCATCTTATTTGTTTAGACTACACATTAAATGGGTGCAATTATTAGATAAAATTACCCAACAACTTTACACTGAGTTATTTAAAATTCATACAAGGATCCCAGTTTCCCCTTAGTTTAGACTGCTAACATGGGGTTGATTCATTTGACCCTTCGTCAAAGTTCAATAATGTCTTCCATTTCTTCTTACTTGATCCTGAAAAAAAGCTGTAAAATAAGTTGCTTTTCTTCCCAGTTTCTGGTGAAATCCACTGAAACCTTAATTAATAGCCCAAAAAAACCGAGAAGTAAATATTTAACTGTTTCATTTTAAAGAAGTACTGAAAGGAAGGCTTGAGAACCACGTCAACAAAGAACAAAACTGAATATGTGTCATTGTTGAGTGGGAAAACTATTAATTATTAAGATTATTTATTAAAAGAAGTAATTGTGTAGAAACGTTTATTTTGGCCCCTTGAATAGTTCGAGCCATGGGCTTTGATAAAAAGAAGCAAAGTTCCTTTAAAGTTCTTATGCAACGTGTGTTCTATGAATTTACTGTACGGTGTCAAATTCGTCATTTTCATAGAGTCGTTGATGATTATAATTATTTGTAGTTTGGGAAATGCTCACTCTAGTTTTCCAAAGCAGAGTGTATAATATGGCTTCCGAACATTTTCCAAGCCTACAAAACACTTATCGCCAGTACAATAGAATCAACAATTCATTTCCTAACCGGTTCGTGTTTTCTTCAATTTATGCCCTGCCTTAGGCATTTTAGGAACCAACACACTTAAACAATTCGAAGAGAATTATTACAACACATCTAATAAAAAAAGGCTGACAAATATTTTACGTCTTAAACACCTTTCTTGATATGTCATTAAGTCAGCAACCCCCGTATTGGCTGGCTAATTAAATTTTTGATCCAATAACAACGTGTGTTTTAATTTTTTCCCACTTAGTTTACCGGTAAAAAGCGACTCATCCATTCTGTTTCGTCTCCCAAGGCAATAACCTAATTAGAGCCTTTTTAGAGAAACAGCTTTACAGGTGGATTCATTTCCGTTCTTGTTATCTGAAAAGGGTGTTCAATGAACGGTAATTTCATTGATGAACTCATAACTGAGAGTCTAGTTTCTGAGGAGCTGAATTTATCACAGACCTCATAATAACGTAAGTATGCATCTTTATTTAGGAAAATTTGATAACAGTAAACTACTCACAGAGATTCAGAGTCTCTGAAAGCCATAATTTGTTTAACTTGTACATTGGCCCGTAAAGACAATCGTTAAAACTCAACTTTCATTTGTTCGTTTAAACACACATCATCCGCCACTAATTAATTGAGGTTAAGATAGGTAGACTAGGTATAAGTGGGATGAGATAATAAATTAGATAACTGAAGTAACTGCTCCATCTTTAACTCAGATTGCGAACCGTTTAATGCCATTTAGAAACTAAATCTTGAAACGGATTATATCTTTTGCGAGGTGCTAGAAAGAAACGCGAACATTATGCACGTTGAATTGTGAATCTTCCACGACGCCACACGATATAACTAGGAGGCAGGTGATTTACAGTTGGGGGAACAAAGTTTAATCTCTTCACGAAAAACTCTTGATTGTACGCTCATGTCATTCCTTACACTGTATAGATTACTGTTCCTGTCTTCAAACAAAACGCAGCGCTTTAGAGTGCTTGGCGTCCTGAACTGAAGTATTCTGCGTTTAAAGGAAAGAGATTATGTTTTAACAATATAACAACAAGGTTTGAGTACATCTAGCATGTTTTGGCTGTCACCAAGGGAGTATAAGAGTGACCTGCTGAGAGTTTGCTCAACCTTAGAAAACTTTCACTCGCTTTTGGGTCCTTAAAACTGGTAACGGAATGAAAGGTGAACAGACGCGCCTGTTTAGTTCCAATTACACTTGAATTAAGTTACAGATATCCAGTGAAAAACCTTCTCCAAACCATATCTTGATCTGTTGTATACACCTTGATTCAGCGTGCTTAAACAAGAATCATGTGATTGAGGTGGGGGTTCTCTTCTTCGTTCACAAGGTTGAAAAAAGAGCTAAGTTTGTTGTCTTGGCTTTTTCTGAGTATTAAGGGCTGTCTAGTTTTCCTCCTTTTTCTAGAACCAACATATATTTGAAACATACCTAGTTCCGTTTTGTCAAGCAAGATTATAGTATGATGACCATGGCTATGATGATGATGATGATAGCTCATGATGATGTACTATCAGAATTATTCTTCATTAATATTATAACATGATCAATGATCATACGAACGCCGGATACCATTCAAAATATTTCCAAGTTTAAAACATACTTTGCTTTCTGTAAAGTTCCCTCCTCCAATTCGCCTGTTTCTCGACGGCTTCAGGATAAGAAGGGATGTTTATTCTAGTATAAATACACTTCATAAGCAGTTGTCATCCGTTGACTGGTATTTTTGTCTGTTCTTGTTAATATGTTTTTGAGGCATTAGTTGGCTCTTTTTCTACTTCGTATAACTTGTGAAACTTTTTCCCACTTCTCCAGCTCTTCGCAAAACTTCTTTGCGTGAAGTGTGCACGTCCCTTCTTCTGTCGATATCATTACGATCGACGTCGCTCCTATTGATACCGGCAAATATCTTCTTCATTTGGTCAACGCTAGCTTGTTATGAAGAAATTGCGGAGGGATTAAGCCAACCAGAAACGGAGAAACATTTCAAATGAATAATAATTATGTTTATGATTGTAATTATGATGATAATTATCATAATAGTTTTGACTTTGATAATAATCATAATGATGAAGTTGATTGATTAATTGATGGATTGATTAGACGACGGAGTGAGTGATTACTGATTGATTGATTGACTGATTGATTGATAAATTGACAAGATACTGACAAATTCATCCATATACATTTTCAGGTAAAATGGGTGCAGGCTCAGTCATTCTCCTAACTCTAATGCTTGTAGTAGTGGTAACAGCAGGCGCGCCTGAGTCAGTAGAAGGCACAGAAGAAGAATCTTGTATATCATGGAACTGCGCTAGAAAGCGAGTCCTTCAACTCAGCAAAGAGGAAAGCTCACGAGAAAACGAAGACCGGTCTTTAGATTCTGATAAGTCCTGCATCTCCTGGAATTGTAGGCGAGAAATGATGCTTCGAAATAGGTTCCTAGATGCACAAAGGGCGGCAGCCGATGCTGAACCAGAAGTAAAAAAGTCTAGTGAAGTCGACGCAGACGAAACACCGTGCATTTCAGGACCGTGCAGACGCAAAAAACGAGAGGCCCAACGTTTATCCAAACTACAGCCACAAGTTGATAAAGACCCGGCGTGTCTCACAAAAGACTGTCGAACTGGGAAGCGATCGCTCAAGAAACGTAGCGACAAAGAAAATACCGCTCTAATGGAAAAACTCCGGTTCGTGGCCAGCTCTAAGGAAAAGCTTGACGACCCTGGCTGTATAGCATGGCATTGTAACGCTGGGAAACGACGATAACTTGTGGAAGCAGTTGAATGACAGGTAGTTTAATACATCATTATTATTTTTATTATTATTAACGCCTTGTTTTCTGTCATTGTCACACGACTCAAAGGAGACGTAAGATGCCAGACGTAGGCGGACGTTATCTTGCCCCGCTAAGTAACGTCGGCGAAGCAGCTCCGATATCCTCGTTCTGGGACCCCAGCGGACTCAACTACCTGACGTGTATTTCAAATTTTCCTTCAACCTGATGGGCTAATCGACGATGGCATTTTTGACAGACCAATCATGGCGCGCACTCAAATCCGGGTACACAGCTACGGTCCAGAACAAGGCAGACAAACTTAACCAGAAGTTTAGTTCCGTCTGTGTCGCAGGCTACTAATTTTGTCGCCTACGCAAGACGCTCTGTTTATGCACAGGTGGTCATGCGCACTAGTTTAAACCATGCCCTTGGGGGACATCGACGGTTCCACTTCATCTCACCACCCACCCCATCCCCCTTACCTATGTATTTGGTATGAAAAAGTCATTGAACTGCCCGCCCCTAACAGACAACAATATTTTGCTCGGACCTGTTCACTAACTGTTTAATACTTTTTTATTCATTTCTTTTTTCAGAACGAAGATCAATCTTGATTTCCTGTTGTTATCATACTTCTCCAGGAATGTTCACTTTTAGTTTTCGGAAATGCAGTTTGAAGAACTAATGTTAAACGACGTGTGATGCACCAAACGATTTCTACAAAATGTTGTTCAAGACACTCGGTTTAATTTCATTCTAAAATGCGGCTAAAATAGGCAAGGACGATAGACCTGAAGGATATACATTGTATCACAAGGAAAAAATAACACTTAGGAAACTGAATATTAAGAGTTGTAAGTTATTTCACCGCAGAGCACGTAAGGTAAATAAAAAAACAAACTGAGAAACTATGTTATTGTTGTTGTTGTTATTGTAGCTAGTCTCCTACTCTAAACCCAGCCCTTCTTTTGACCATTCCCCTCAGGTAAGGAAAAACGAAATGCTACTTTAGGCATTTTCCCTTAATACAGGGCACTAAGATTACATTATTTTTATTGACCTTTCTTTTACTGCTTGTTAGATCTACAAAAGCACTTCTTTCAAAGCGATAATATTTTTCTTTGCGAGGGTCAAGTTTCTAGTTTTGGGTGAAAGCTCAGGTGCAGATCAAATGTTGCATTCACATGTGCCGAAATATGATTCCTATTTCAGTCGGCTAAAATAATGAAATGCAGTATTTGAGTTAATGGTGAGACATATTAGGATGCGCATGCGCGAAATTAAAAGGATAAATTTTGAAAAAGCTGGCCCAACTTTTCAGTTCTCGACTAAAGTAAACTTAAGTCTTGTTTCGTCTTACAATTTGGACGTTCTCTTGTGATCTTCTCTTCTAATTTTACTTCAGTTCTCCTTCTCTACAAAGAGCAACTCTTATATTCAAGCAAATAGAAGCGAGATAAATGGATAGGGCAAGGTTTTCTACTCATAATATGTTAGGGAGTTCCAGCTAAAGGTGATGTTACACGGGAGAATTCGCAACGTCGATTTTTAGTGCAACACAGTGTTGCAATGTTGGAACAATGTTGTAACTATTCGGAACAATGTCGCAAGAATGTTGCGAATCGTCTCGTGTAACGTCGCCTTAAGGTGGCTCCCTAGAGTAAAATTGAACGTTCGTAGCCTGAGCGCTAGTATGTTTTTTCCGCTTTAAAATGTTAAGCAATATGATTAATATATAGTGGCAAAGTTTAAAGACATTTCACCGAGCGAAATAAGAAATACTAAGATAAAATGATCAAAAATGACAAAATTACTGCCCGTCTAAGGATGCGATGTTGCCATGGCAACGGCCTTTATCCAGAAAATGAAACTTGATAAGGGAGCCTTCTTATATTGGTAACCTTAGCGGTGAATCTCGTGAACAAAATTGCAAAGACAAAGTAACTAGATTTCGTTCTGTAACGTATGCTAGATAGCTAGGGTTATTGGTAAATACTCTAGAGAGCCACCTTAAAAACGGAAAGCTTAAGCCGAATCAACATAAAGTGGATAGGAAACCTTGAGTTTCCTGAGTTTGATTAATGAGAGGTAAAAGTGGTCATTACAATGGAAAAGTCGAGGTTGGAGACTAGATGTCCCACTCTCAAAAACCCTTATCAAAAAACGTAACGACACGCGAAAGGAGAAATCAGCCAACTCTCCATCCCATGGTCCTAGATTTATAAAAAGTACAAGAAATATTATGAGAATGTACACATTTCATATGGAGAAGGGTCCTTTGTTAATAACCAGCTAAACGACTAATTCGTGACTCTGTACGTGATGCAGGAAGACCACACTTTTTTGATTTTATTGGTAAAAGCTTATTAGTAAATTAGTTATTTTTCATGTTCCTTTCTTAGTAGTTACCACTTAGAAAGATCCAAAGCCCTAATAGCTTCCTTCAAAAACGAGTAAGTGATTTACGTCGGTTAGTTTTTCAGCTCAGTACCGTCGGCAAAAGTACCAATCCCCGCGCACACTTCACGTTTTATGTTTTAAATATTTTATGTTTACTAGTTCCGCAATGATACATTAAGCTAAATCAGGTTAAATAATGGCTTCATTTTCTAAATCGTTATAAGGATTTATCGAACTTTCATTAATCATCATAAAATTCTTACCCATGACACATTTAATTCGAGAACAAGTGAAATATAAATGTGACGTTTGAACCGGGCCTTAAGAAAGGACAGCTTCTTAAAACAAGGATCCCGTAAAAAAAGGAAGCAGAAGTGACGGTTAGGATAATCTGTCTTAAGACTGACCCGATTTTTGTGTTTTTTTTTTTTTGTTTTTGTTTTTTTCAAGCGGGTAGAGCTTGTAGAGCAGAGCTTGATCGTTTTCCTTTAAATATCACAATCAATCAAAAAATTCTCAAATACATCTGAAGTTGAGGAATCTCTTGTCAAACAAGCTTTTTTAATGTCATTCGACTTACACTGTAATGGCAAAAATAGCTTCCACTGTCATTTAATGAATATGTCACATGGAATACTTTAAGCTTCCTGACTTTAACCCTGATTTATTAGATATAGCTGTGGTAAAAAGTTATGTAAGTTCAATGAAACAGGAATATATCTCATATTGGCAAAACGCCCCTAAACATTCTCAAAAACTTGAATTTTATAGATCTTTCAACTCCAATCATACCTCCTCTAGTTACTTAGACTTAACAAGAGGAACAGCTGGAGGAAGGGCTTTAGTAAAACTACGAATATGCAATCACAAACTAATGATAGAAATAGGCAGAGACAATCAAACTACGAAGGATAAAGGGCATTGCCCTTTTTGTGGATGCAATGTGATAGAAGACGAAGTTCACTTTCTTTTTCAATGTCCTAGTACATACTCTATGATTAGGAATAAATTTTACTATAAAGTCAAGACTCTGATTCCAAATATTATCCAGTTACCTATAAACAGTTTGGTCAATAAACTGATGAACTCTTCTAATTACCTTATCAATATACAATTCATAAAATATATATTTCAGCTTGTTTTGATGTTCGTGACAAATTAATATCAAAGTACTGACGTAATAGGCCACTTGCACTAAGAGGTCACGTAACCAACGCTTCGTTTAAACAATGAGTTGGAATCTTGCTGATGCCAAAGATAAACAGAGCACGTAAAAATTATCTTATACCCGAAATTTGAGAGGAAACGCATTTAAGGGAGAAACTTTATGGCACTTTGATTTTTCAACAAAGTAGTATGATTTGCATTGGCCGCCATGTTGGAGGGCATACTCTTGCCCTCCAACAGTTTAAGTGCAACGGCAGAAAGACTGAGGTAATTCATAATTTTAAAAATCACATTTTGGTCACGTGACCAGCTACGAACTTACTCATTTCAAGAAAATGGTGCAGGTTTGCAAAACCAAATCACTATTATTTTGTTAGAGATATGACACACTAATCGTTTTTTGAAGAAAAAATCATATAACTGTCATTTTCATAAAAACGATGTCACATGACGTCTTAGTGCAAATGGCCTATTGCATGCCCTATATTGTAATTCTGATTCCTAAACATAGCTTTTGTAATACTGTATGTGTTTGTATGGTCATGCAAATAAAGCTCGTTGTTGGTTGTTTTTGGGGGGAAATGATGTTGATTGGGAAGAAACTACCGTATTTATTGATTGGGAAGAAACTATATTAAAGGCAGAAAAAGTTAAGAAGCCCAGCCTCGAAGCCCACCCCACCCCACCTCCCTCCCCTCCCACTCAAATTGAATAATAAGAGACTTCCCGAAGACGGAGTTTTAAACCAATCTTAGTTTTGTCATTACCATTTATTGTTTTGTTGCAAAATAAACATACTAATGGGCTTCGAATAAGGCACCAAGGTCCAAAAATTTGTTAATCGTGGTGGTGGACTAAATCAATGAGTATAATTAGGTCGTGGTGGTGGACTATCTGATATATTAGGCCGGCACTTCATATTTTAATTTTTAACAACCCAAATCCAATATTCTTAATTTTCCATCCATTCAAACCCAATTTTCAGTTATATTTAAATTAAAAACATTCCAAAAATCATTCAAAAATTCGGCAAAAATTATTCAATCGGAGGAGTCTTCCTAGTCATTTTTTGATTGAATGAAATCTTGGCTAGATAATGTATTTCGATTTAGTAGTAAGAAAAAGGGCGAAAATAAACGAAAAACAATGCTTTTAACCGGAGCGCATCAGAGTCATGGTTGAAGCCATGGGGAAAAATAACAGATCATTGATATTTATGACGTAGTACATATTTGATCTTGGATTAATCAAAAACAAAGAATTGAATACTGTACAAAGCTGCGCCCAGTTGTTCAGTTTAAGGACAAGACTGAGTTATTTTTCTTTCTATCTACCTTTTCAGGCAAAATGGGTAGATTTTCATTTACTTTGCTAACTTTAATGTTTGTAAAATTAATGGCAGAGGCAGACGTCTTCCAATCAAAAGAAAACAATTATAGAGAAGAATCGCCGTGTCAAGGGTGGAAATGCCGTGGAAAGCGAGCCGTTCAACTTGATCAGGAGGAAAGCAAAAGGATGAACAAGATTCAACCTTCAGACGCCAAGACGAATTGCCTCAGCTGGGAATGCAAGAGAGAAATGTTGTTGAGAAGTAGGTTCCTGAATTCAAACAGGGCAGCCCTTGCGGCTGCGACCAAAATAAAACCACTTAGCGCAGCTTTAGGAGACGAAGCAGCACAAGTAAGAAAGCTACAGCCACAAATGACAGTCGATGAAGAGCCCTGTCTCAGAAATGATTGTGGAACCGGGAAACGATCGATGAAGGAACGATTGAACGCAGGGAATACAGCTCTAAAGGAGAAACTGAAACTCCCGCTCGGGAACTGACGCCGCTAACGTATAGTGTAAGTTTATGTTTTATTTGTTTCTCAGTGCTTGTTAGTAGTAATTCTTTTTTTTATTTTTTAATTCCTAGATTAATTTTTACCAAAAGTTCATCAGCCCATGTCCGTACAATGTTCTCAGTCTTAAAATTTTTACTTAACCAAGGGCGTCTAAAACCAAACAACCAAACTCAAACATCAGAACTGACCGCCCGGGCGGCTCCTTTTAACAATGAAACTGAGCCTTTTTGGAAGGAATCAGTTTAGCTTAATGCCCATAACTTCCGTACAGACTATTTTGGAATAGACTTATCTAGTTGAACAGTCCTGATAAAAAGTGAAATTCTCTTTACAACTACTGCTCTGGCAAGCGCCCAAAACTTCAAGGACACTTTAATTTCAAGGACACTTTAATTTCAACGCGAAGATTCTGGTACTTTGCCGCAAAAAAAGAAATCGAGAGGAAATTGATTTTATATCTTTAAGTATGATCTT